CGTGAGTGACACCACCCTCCGGACAAGACAATGGCCCTAGGAGCCATGAGGGGTGTCGACCGAAACCTGATATCCGTCCGGATAAGAGGTCAGCAGAAGTTCCAACAGCGATGGCGCATGATCCTCCACATCTGGAATCCGCGTAGGCAAAGTAACCAGCTGTGCAATCATATGCCAAGGCAACGTTATAAATAAATTTCCCCTCATGATCGGTTAAATGTGAACCAAGCCATTCAGCGTGATGGGCGTTAAAATCACCGAGTATCACGATCTCTGCGGATGGGACCTGTTGTAGCACGGAGTCTGCAGCCATTTGGACGTGGTCGATGAGTGGATCTGTGTCGGCATTACCGCTATGGGACCTATAGAGGCATCCGTAGACGCGGGGATGGTCGTCGCTGTCTACGCGCAGTCATAGGATGGACAGGTCCGTACCTTCAAGACTGCCGAGGCGTCGAATACAGATGTCCTCTCTGACGTATACGCAGACTCCAGCCCGGGGCACAAAGGAGTAATTTGTAACCCGGGTAGGAGAGATATGAAGTATCAGCCGGAGAGGACACTTGAGTCTTAGTTAAAAAGAGTAAGGCCGGCTTTGCCGTCTCTAGATGGTAATGGACAGCGTTAAGGTTGGAATGAAGTCCCCTGATGTTGCAAAAATTCACGGATAGCGTGACAGGGGTCGGCTTGGTTTTATTGCTCCGCTTGCCCCGAGCAGCATTAGTCGCGAGCGGAATTTTGACCCCCCCCCCCCCCCCTCCAGAATACGCGGGGCAGCCTGAACACCCACGCTCAGGAGTCTCACTTTGGTCGTGGATGCTCAGCGAGGGATTCTCCAGGGGTGCTGGTACCCTCCTGGGGTCTTTTATTTAATTCCACTACCATGTTGATGGGGGGGAGGAACTTGGGCCTCCGGCCACCTGCACTCACCGAGCGCAACGCAGAAGTAAACCTCTACTTCACGCTGGTATTCTGTGAGGTCGTGATACCACCCCGGTTTGAGCCGGCCCAGCCGTGCGACAGCAAAAGCTGCCGCGTGGCTCTAAAACTGTTAAACTCTTGTAAATCTTACTTTTTTCTGCCCATCATAAATAAACAACCGATACACATGAATAACTTATTTTCTTCGCTATGAGACAAGTCCAGTCTTAACTAATAAACCAAACACAATAACTGCCTTTCTTTCTTCAAAACTTCTTTAATACATTGACGTTTTTCGTTAACGCCAAACTCCCATGATCGTGACTGAAAAAACGTATCGCTTAAAGGCGAGGTGCGCATGCGGCGATGCCGCATAAGCCTCAACCGCATCGTCAATCTACCTGTCCTATTCATAGCTGCCTTTACGTTTTACGGAATTAACCGGTTAATTTGGGTGTCAAAACCATTAAGTAACCGGTAACCTTTATCGTTGAGGTTTAATAAAAACCGGTTAATTATTTAACCGGTAATTGAAGGAGCGATAAATTTACCGGTAATTAATCGAAATTAACCGCTCTTTTTAAACCGGTTCCGAGCCCTGCAAATCAAATTAAAACATAAATACGTATCATATGTATCAAAAAAAATTTACTGTAAATCTAATTTTGCACTATCAACTCACATATTATCACCGTCTAAACTAAACTACAATTCCAGTATAACATCAATGTATTAAATATATTCTTTAACTCTGACATACATTATCGCCATCATTCAATAATGTATATAAATACAATCTAGTCATCGAGAATAAAGTCCATTTTGTTTTCATTTCATTTGTAATTCCGTTCAAAACCCAATTTAGAACGCTTATCTCGAAAAGTTACTTATAATAAGACAATATCTGTAGTGTGATAAATTCCATGAACGCCAAATAATAGCTGTATTACAGCTATTATTTGGCGTTCATGGAATTTGAACTTGTACAACTACTGTACAGCACTACTAACTCATAAAGCTGTGTAATTTGCGCCAAGTTTTTACTTAATAAGAACTGTATAAGCACTTATACAGCCTTTATACAGCCAGAAAATACAGCCTCTAATATAAAAAACAAACTTCAATACAGCTCGTTTACATGTGCTTGGGATAGTTCTTCTTCATAATCAGCCCGTAAAAATCCACTACTAGACATAAACCTCTCTCGTTGTAGGGAGAATTTGCCCAAGTCTTCAAGCTTGGCAGGTGGATTGACGATGGCATTACCAGACCTTTTGCGCTGCCCGTCGCCGACCTGGGTATTTCACGTCGGTGGTGCAAACGAGATGGTTGATAAAAAAGTATCTACCTTTAATTAGTATTGTGTAATGTATTTATATAATTGTAAATGTAAAGTTAAAAATATTACATATGTAATATGATGTAACGTTAAGATGGATACCAAGTATTTATACATAAAGCGTATAGTTACAATTTAATCTTACGTGTGCGCAGAAAATGAACCGTTCAAGCGAAAAGCATCAATTATTGCGTCATCACGTAAACTGAGCACGTGTAGTACTAATAAAATAAAAGTAGGTTTTCAAGTCGATAAATATACAAAACGAATAGCGTTTATATAATATAATAACGTTTCGCGATATCTTTGTCAATTGTTAACAAATTTTAATGATACTTTTTTTTATTAAAAAGTTCACTTTAAAAATGGTTCGATATAAATTTGGAGAAAAGCCTCCACCATCCCCAAGCGTGGGAAAACAATAGATTAAGTTTCGTATGGCGAGTGTAGAGAACCGGAGATCCTTTTTACAAATATATAAATAAAAACATTTATGTAAATAACAACAGTCGACGTCACGACACTATAAATTAACAATATATTCTTCTTATGACTATTCCTGTTCTTCATCTTCAGCCTCTCCTGTCGTAGGAAGAATTAGACTTAATCGTCATGCCTGGCAGACGGACCGCAACTTTAGCGCTGCTGCGCCGATCTGGGTATTTTCAAGTGGCGTAAACGAGATGGTTATAGTTATCTATCGGATTTTTTTATATAGAATAAGCGTGACAAACGAGCACACAGTCCATCTGATGGTAAGTGATGCTGTGGCCTATAGACATCTACATATATCTTCGTTTGCGAATTAAAATGCAGATGCGTTGTCAGTCGTGAGGACTAAGATAGAACGCCTCTTTTCTAGTAAAGAGGGTCTCCGGTTTCCTACACTCACCATACGAAACACAGCAGTATTAAGCTGCTATTTTACGCTGGTATTCTGTGAGAGCGTGGTCCTTCCCCGGTCGAGCCGGACCATTTGTGCTACTACTATACTATTAAAATAGCTGCAGCATGGCGCTACCACGTAATCTATCGGAATCTCTAAGATTCTTTGGCATTTCTCGTAATCACCTCTTACGACACCCATGGGACGAAATAGGGTGATGAATTATAGTACGCTGCCACCACCCGCCTTTTTGTAGGTAGGACTATCACGAGATGATGAAGAAGAACAAGGAATTATTTACAAAATATTTTGCTAAATAATCGAACGAGTTAACCGTAGAAAATAAGAACTCCCTTCAACAGGTATGCCGATCGGGCAAGTAACTGTAGTAAGTACGTAGACACTTGATCAGGAGTCAAGATAAAGTCGCTCACGTGGGCAAACACTGCACCCAATTTCAATAAAACTCCTTTTTTAGACATCTGACTCAGTTCAAGTTTCAAAGCAATCCAACGCAGACAATCTGACAGTTTTAACAATACGAACATAATATAATATGAACATACAAATGTCAGTAATGAATTTATTAGAACGTCGGGAACTAAAATAGAGATCAATAAACACAAAAAGCCATAAAATTAGTTTTATTCATATAAGCATAGGGCTCGCCATAGATAGCCTCATAAGGGGGATATTCGCCATATGAGCTACGCCTGGCAGGCGGGTCGGCAACCACAGTTTTATTTTCTACTTGTAACAAGAAAAATACGTAGGTTCAAATAGTATACGGTCAATAGGGGTCGAATCAAATACTGGTGTTATTGGATGAACGCTCTACAATTTCAATATTAGACTCAGAGGTAGCAAAACAAATAAGGGCCGCAGACGCTATCGTCATTAAAAAAAAAAACCGAAAACATGTGCGTTATGACAATGCAAATTTCCTATAATTGCGATTATTTTATTGATATAATGAAACTTTTAATAAGTTGCTACTTTTTATTTTATATTGTTAAAATATTCATTAAACTATTTCATTTATTTGTCATATATTATCATATTATATGCAACATAATAATAATTAGTTTACCTACATGTGATAATGAAATGAAAAATATTTATTTCTTCGATGGAAGAAAAAACATTTTGTTTTGTCAAAATGTCATTTTTCTCAAATTTACTACGGTTTCGATGTGAGGTTCCTTTGGCCGGAGAAGAAACAGCGAAAGAAACTCTACGGGTATCATCATTCACTTAGTTATTTTTTAATGTTAATACTTATTACAATAACCTATATACTATAAGTACAGAATGGAAAACTGGGTAACTGAAGCAAGTCCTACGATACATCTCATCAGTGCATAGCAAACCTGAGCAGACCAGTAAGCAGCACGTGTTCACTGTTATGACGCATGTGGCAACCTTCGTCGCTAGCAGAGAAATAATTAAAACACAGGCCTTATTAAATATTTATATCATTCTGGCAAGGTAATATTGTTGTACAGAATACAAGTCTTATTTTATTTTTATTGGTAACACAATTGTAAAAGAACAAAAATATAAATACGCGAACCTAATCAGTATAAAATCAACATAAAACTACGTAATAGTATTATTTAGTAATAAATTTATAAAAAAAATAGCTACTTGACTGCGATTTTTTTAGACGTAACTACATCACAATAACAGTGACAAGAGATCTTCGTTGGCGTAACATCGATTGTTTCTTACCGTTGCAGTAACAACATGTACCTAAGTAGGTACATGTTGTTACACTACTTTATACTTGAATTCGAACAATTATTAAGATATTACGGTAGTTCAAAATCGCAAAGACAGTAATCTTTGGCTTACCACAAACTTGAAGGCGAAAAAATATCCAAATAGTAGTGCACAGAAAAAAATAACTAGTTTTCACACACACACATTCAAATGTTAACGAAAAACACAAAACAAATCCACATAAAGTACACACTAAACAATTCACGATTGGTTGATAACTTGAAATCCAATTAAACGTGTTCGAGACGGTATTTACGTATTTGCGCGAGAATGTACGGAGAACAGAACGTACACCCACTTGCACACGCTTATCACCCGCGACTGGCGGGCGGGCTGAGCGAATGAATGAACGGACGCAAGTGAACCGAATGTTAAGTGTTAACGAATGCAAACGATCGAGTGGTCAAACTTAATAGAAAAGCCAATCGTGAAAAATACAGTTAAGTATATAATATTTATTCCTATTTATTTAACCGTTTAAAATTATTAAATAGAGAGAAATAAAGCTTCTTAACTTCTTTCTACTATGAGTCTCAGCGTACAATTTCGAACAGAGTGTTTCAAAAGCAAGTCACCTACTTTCTTTCATACCTACTTTATGATTGTGGAAGTAATTGAATACCACGAGAAAGGTAAACAGAACGTTCGATATTCGTTTTTGTGATGTTTGCTCTTGTATTATCTGTAATTAAAATGCAAATATATAGGTACATGAAGCATGTAGAACTTTCTGATGAGATTTCTAAACTGATGATTTTATACTTTGTTAAAATGTATTTAATTCATCAAGTAGGTACCTAGTCATCAAGTTCTCGCGGAGTCACATCATCATAACTTCTAAGTTTTAATTTAATTAGATAATGCTCCGTTTTTTCGATATAGGTCCCCTAATATTAAGATTATTGAATAATTAATTTATACAAATACTTTTCGGATCGTAGAGAATTCAAACTGATTTAAAATAATTATGTTTACACAAACAGGTAAGGCATGTCATGTGTAAATGAATCGGAACATTGATGATAATTATTAGTATAAGATCATCGTATTAAACTTACAATATAATCTATACATATAGTTAGTCATAGGTATTACTCATGTTTTTCGAAATTTTAAAAATATTGGCCTTGAACCAAATAGCAATAAATGTGAAATATTTTTTTCCAATAATTTATCTACTTCTCATAAAGACACTAATTCAAAATTTCAATCATATTTCTCCAGGAATAAAAACTGTCAGTATGGAATCGCTATACAACGGGGCACCTAGCCCCGTTGTTTTTCGATAGTATTAAAACTTGTTTTAAAAACAAAATTTTTAAACCACGTTGCTAAACTGTATAACTTTAACACCCACATTGCTCTTACTATTTTAAAATATTGTCTCCTTATACCTACCTATACATACTTAGTCCGCTCGAGTCCAGTCTGGGAATGTTCGGATATTTTAAAAGATAGAATTGATAATAATCTTAAAATAGCTTTAAAATTTTTAAATTTAAATACAACAGCTTGGACTCAAGTTACTTTACTTATAAAATTTGGTGGTATTGGTGAAAGAAATCTTTCTGCCGTTGCATTGTCTGCTTTTCTTGCTTCCGTGCATAGTGTCAGTAACTTATGTAACATAATTTTAAATAATAAAGTAGACCTGTGCTTTCCTACGGAGGCAGGGCAGACATGGCGAACACTCTGTCCTGGCGAAAATGTTCGACTGGAGGTTAACCAACAAAACACTGGGATATTCCGTTGGTACAGAGCGTGCAGAAAGATTTGTTTCATAATTTCCATAGTGACTAAGATCAGGCACGCCTTCTAGCTGTTTCGACTAAGGAATCTAGTCAGTAGTCACTGGTTACACGCTTTACCATCAAGTAATCTCGGCACATTACTTGATGGGGAAAGCTTGTGCATTGCCGTAGGAATCCGACTAGGATTTTTTACGTGGTAGAGCCATGCTGTAGCTATATTAATAGTATAGTTGTAGCACGAATGGGTCGGCTCGACCGGGGAGGGACCACGCTCTCACAAATAGCAGCTTACTGCTGCTGTGTTTCGTATGGTGAATGTAGAGAACCGGAGACCTATTTTACTGGAAAAGAGGCATTCTATCTTAGTCCTCACGGCTGACAACGCATCTGCATTTTAATTCGCAAACGAAGATAGATGTAGATGTCTATGGGCCACAGCAACCACTTACCATCAGGTGGACTGTGTGCTCGTTTGTAACCCTAATTCTATAAAAAAAATAGGAGCGGTGATTTGTCAATCTCATCAGTGCCCCTGTGGTAGCAGCGTCGACAAGTTTAGGCTCCACAGACTTTCATATAAGAAAGTGCTGTTAGGTTTTCACGGCACGGTCCTGAACGATGTCATCCGAATGGCTCTTGTCTCTATAAATGTTCCCTCGGTTTTAGACCCTTTTGGAATATTTAGAGACGGCGGTAGTCACTTACCATCGGGTAAGCCGTATACTCGTTTGCCCCTTCTCCTATATAAAAAAACCTATTTCTGCCGCGCAAATAGCAGTCCTGCTGTGTTGCGGTATGAAAGATAAAGAGAGCTTTTTTTATAGGAGAGGGGGCAAACGAGCATGCGGCTCACCTGATGGTAAGTGACTACCGCCGCCCATGAACAACCGCAACACCAGGGGAACCAATCAAAAAAAGAAAAAATCAAAATCGCAGAAGCGTTGCCAGATTTTAAAAAAGGAGTAGGCACTTTTCTTGAAGGTCCCTAAATCGTATCGGTCCGGAAAAATCGCTGGTGGTAATCGATTTCACAAGGAAGTTATGCGAGGAAGAAGACATCTTCTAAATAGTACAGTGGTGGACCGCCAGTCATCCAGATAATATAGAGAGCTAATATAGTTACAGGCTGTGCAGCATTCAACCCGAGTCCTCAGATATTACAACGCACCTGTAGCCTTCTTTGTCTAAAGCTGGTTGCAGGTGACAGCTATAGATAAGATTGCGGTACCGACTTAGACTAAAACTTAGGCAGCAACAAGCATCACTACCTAAAACGATTACTTATATTTATCATTTAATTAAATATTTAAAGAAAAAGAATATATAGTTAACGTTGCCGACAAAATTCTTAGGCAAACAATAGTTTTATATTTAAATTTTATTATATTTTATATTTACAGTAACTACAAAAAATATATAAAAGGTGGTGAAAAAAGTAATGCATGGTGAGTATAAATTATGTGACAACTTAGTGCAAGCTACGCACATCGCATATAGCATAAACGCATAGAATGCGAACTACTTGGAATCTCGCCGCAATAAAAAATTCCACACACGGGCTGCAAATTGCAAATACTTGCGTCAGCTACGTGTTCTCGGTGCTCGTCTATGGCATCATAATCTGGAGATCCTCAGTGGAATTTCAGAGAACACTCATTCTCCAAAAAAAGTGCATTAGATCGCTAATGAATGTGGTAATATTTAGATAGTTGCAAACCATTATTTAATAAATATATTTTTTTTCCTTAAGTACGTTTACGTATTTTTTTACAGTCTACCTGATGGTAAGTGGTTGCTGTGGCCCATAGACATCTACATTTATCCTCGTTTGCGAATCAAAATGCAGATGCGTTGTCACCCGTGGGGACTAAGATTGAATGCCTCTTTTCCAGTAAAAAGGGTCTCCGCTTCTCTACACTCACCATGCGAAACACATCGGTGTTAAGCTGCTATTTAACGCCGGTATTTTATGTATAGTGATATGTATAGAAAGACAAGTTTGATATTTTGTAAAACGGCACCCAGAATATTTATAAAAATACGCAGATATACAAATAATTCAATATTAAAACCTATTACGTCTACCTCTTTGTCATACTTATATTTATAGAAAAAAACCGGCCAAGTACGAGTCGGACTCGCGCACCGAGGGTTCCGAACAAACCCCTAGGTATATAAGTTTAATATTATTAAAAATATTTTTATTATGTGATGTAAAAATTTATACTTTTCGCAATTTTTCCTTTATCTGTGCTATAATACGTTGCTTCGTACCAAATTTTAAGATTATGAGTTCACGGAAAGTACCCTGTAAGGTTTTGATTCCCTTGCGAATGTCGAAGATTTGCGGCATAAACGGCTGTATCTTTTGATTGCGTTGGCTTAGAAGTTTGATTGTTTCATAGCTTCAAGAGACAGTAGACTTGACTATTTGATTTTTGAATTTCAGCTTGATACCTCCACGCGTTCCTGAGAAAAAGGGCCTTGACAGACAGACAGACGGACAACAAAGTGATCCTATAAGGGTTCCGTTTTTTTCCTTTTGAGGTACGGAACCCTAAAAATTATGTATATAATAATATTTAATAAATTACCGAACTTTATAAAAAAGTTTGAAGGATACAAATTTAAAACTTCATTAACCGAATGGCTACAACACAAATGTTATTTTTTTTTATATTTTAAAAAAATATTTAGAATTAATATAAGCTTAGGTAATTAGTATAGACTCTATTGCTATACACAATACTAGCCTAATATAATTGTAACACCATCTCATGCCAAATTGTATAGTTGCAAATAAATTTATTGTATTCTATTCTATTCGGTGTACGCGACATTTAGTACATACGGAAACGTACAGAAACGTGTCACCATATAATATTAATCGCATTCAAGTTTTCTATCCGTCGTTAAATAATTCTATTTTTATAATAATTACAACTAGTTTTCACAAAAATTATGTACAGGCTACCTAGTAAGTGTTCGTGAGCTGGATGCTTGCATTTGTACCCAAATGAAAACCGAGAAGTGGAAATACAATATTTAGAGGACACTAAAATTGCAGTAAATGCACAACTTATACTCTAGAGCTGCGTGGTCTGTTTCAAATTCTGTTCACATCTAAATATGAATAAAGCCAACAGTCGTTTGTTAAATAAAAATAATAAAATTTTATGGACGTTTGAAGAATCGCCCACAAATAAAAATCAATGCTAGGCTTATTAAAAAATCGAATACAAATTTTAAATTCCAATCACTCAAGTAACCTTAAAGTACCTATTGTAACGATTCGCTCCTCTATATATATGAAGAAAAATAAAATGATAATAAAATTATATATGACGTGATTAAGCTAGTGAATATCGAATATTATTGAACATCTTTCCAAAGGATCTTTCTGAAGGTTTAGATACAGGCCGTTTGGAAAATTTATGGTGTGATCGTTTTAGTTAGGATTTATTATCCTCTACTTACATTGTGTTTGTTTAGTAACTTAGTTCTTTTAGGCGTCTCTTGGAAGAATTAATATTCACTAGTGTAATTTTTCACGAGGAAAGGGTTCAAAAAGG